ATCAAAGTAAGGCATAAATAATTTACGCAATTCTTGAATATAAAATATGCATTTTCGTTCGAAAGCTTTCTATATTACTTGATAATTAATAATTTAAAAAACGGTTTAAGTTTTTATGGTTTTTTATACTTTCAATTTCTTTTAGTTAAAATATACGAACTTATGAGGTCCTAAAATGAATGTCTTATAAGTAGAGCGGCGGGTGTGCAAGGCTGAATGTCCAGCTTATCCAGAAGCTGTGGTTTGCGGCTGGGAGCTTAATTCCACCCGCAGAGCCACGCCCTACATTTTAATAGTTTTAATGGCTCAAGAAAGCTCATCGATATTGGATAAGTGCGTTCGTCGTCGTATCGTCCTATCGACATAATTTGTTTTTTTGTTGTTCGATCTATTGCGGCATCCTTTCATAAAAATATGAAGACATTTCTAAATTATACTTCCAATTTCGAAACAACATAATATTACGTATTATATTGTAATGCGAAGATTGATTTGTAGATCAGAAGTCGATTTTGTAGCATTTTAAAATATCAATCAACACATATAACGATGAATAAAAGGAACGAACTGAAGTTAGAAGTTACAAGAAAAGTGTAAAATCAATTTACATTGTTAATTTTTTGACCAATTAAACAAGCTGCTGTTTGCTACTTCATTTGTGTGATACTAAAATTTTATAATAAAAGTATAGTCTATGTTACTCAATAATAACAGTTTTTTAATGTTGAAAGAATTTTTGCAATCAGTTCAGTAGTTCAGAGTTATTTTAATACATACAAAAATACGAATCTTTGCTCTTTAAATTATTAGTATAGTAGACATGAAAATATCTGAATACTTGGTATACTAGACGCATATTAAACTTATTACTAACTACAAAACTACCCTTGGTTTTCGAGTTTGCACTCGGATCAATTCTGTGTTTATTGCTTCAGATGTGAATGAGGCGCGCGTGCGAGGTGTCCGTTATGCATGTGTTGACCATGAAGTCTCGAGAAATACTTGGATAACAATTAATATTAAGATGAGGAAAGAAGAATAATGAAATCTGAGCTTCTTTTTTCTTAAATAAAAAACTAGGGAAGATCGTTTGCATTGAAAACACATTCTACATCAACCGTCAAAATTAAATTAGTTTAAGATCAGTATTGAATAACAGAATCTTTGTTAAAAAGATCGGTCCCATAACTTCAATAAGATCGTAGATTGACACTTCACGTCGTCTAATAAAATCTCACTTAACACTTTTTAATGCGTTATTTTAGATGTCCGTCGGCAACAAGGAAGACTTGGCGACAGCGTGCAAGCGGTGGCACGAAGGTGGCTAATCCGCGCTCGCTTATTGCATCCCACAGTAGCATACGGATTGAAACCGCAGCTATTGCCCCTCGATTTCTGCAGCCCCATCGATCCATAGATTCGTTATCAAATTTTCACACGGGCTCACGCCATTGCTCCAAGATAGACTCTATTTGTGTAAGTAAAACCGCAGGCCTACACACCGATGCCAATACGAAATCGATTATCGCCTCGAACGTTCTATTTTATCGTACAAAGCTCGCTTAAGCTGATTTTTCGTTAAA